TTTTTTTTTGTAATTTCTTAATTATGCTGATGTGTGGTCAAGATTTTTACACGATATCATTGCATTAGTTTTGAATCATGCTTAAATCGAGTATGGTTGAAGTTGGGTACTGACTTCTTCTTGGACTCAAGACAAGTAATAAAGAAAGGCGTAAGTATATATCTAGGTAATAAGAGCTGAACTTGCGTCAGATCGAGGTTAACGGTACAAAACAGACATTTAGTTCGTCAAGTTCACGATTATGGGTTACAGAAGATATAGTAGATGGCAAAAGGTAAACATTTATAATAAGAACTCTGATTTGTGACTTTAATACCTGATATCGATCAGTGCACTCAAGCTATAACCAATTCACAATCATATCATTATAATCACAAACACACATGACCTATTATTTCACTTCGTTATCCTACATGTATTACCAAATATGATCCTACAGTTAGATTAATATGACATAATTTTTCAACACTGATTTATGCTAGTTAGTATGCAACTTTGTAGCTTGTTCACAAATAAGATCATGGATACACATTGCTAAGGAGCGTCATATAGGAATAAAACAGTTGATCGATAGTTTCCTGGTTTTTTTACCCAAATAAAATCAGTCGATGATGTAAACAACAACCCACACAAACCCTCAATTCGTAATGATATGACACAATTTACATAATATATAAATTAAACTAAAGGGTTTATGATATCACTCTTGTTCAAACAGTGAGATTATTATTGAATTCCTAAGTAGCCATAGCTCAACATCAACATATATTCATCATATAATTTAAAGTTATAAAATGAAATTCCATGTATGTGTGAGTGTGTGTATGAAAGAGAAAAACTGATGAAGTACAGCACTAATAACATGGGGAGAAATGCTGAATACTCTCTAATTTATGGAGGTGCTTTTGTTTATTCCTTCAAAGATAGTTGAACTGAGAGCTATAGTCTTATTATAATACAATTTCCATAACATTTAATAAGGGTATACTCAATATCCAGCTAGATATGTCAGTGATCACTTTATACGATGATCAATCAGTATAAATAACTCAGTCATACAGTATTTCAGTCATGGATTGAAAGTCTCAGTGATAATTTCTTAGAATGTGAAAGTGTGTAAAGAAGATCCGAACCATACAAGGACCGACAGTCCACAGGAGTTTACAGGTAGACTTTGTTAACCTGTGTTAACTAGCATAAAACATAGGTCTAGGGTTTTTTACTGATTCCCTCTGACTAATTCATTGAAAACACCTCCCCGATATTCAATAACTTTCTAATTGATATCAATCACGATGAAAATAATTTTTCAACTGAATTCATTTACATAAAACATTTAACTAAGCTATGTGTAGATCAATTTATCAATAACGGATAAAACAAATACGGTATTTCACAGATTGAAATCACGAGTCATTTGAAGCTAGACCACCATGGAAAACCTGCAAGTACTGGACGGCCGTTTCGTTTTAGTACGGGACTCCTCAGCAGTGCGCATCAACGATCTCGCACCCTGCGGGATTCGAACCCAGAGCCTATCGGTCTCGCGCCAGGCGTTTAGCCAACCAAACCACTGAGTTGGCCGGCATCCAATGGTGTTAATATCTAACTTCGACTAATCCACCACTGTACATCATTGTCTTCAGTGAGTTCCTATCTCACAACAGACCTGGTTGAACTCCACTACTCGTAACGACTTCTCACTAGAACTCCAGGAGTATCTCTTGAAGTCAGTCACTAGTGAGCAGATGATTATTGTCAGAAGGAGTTTGTGGAGATTTTAGAAATTTCACATATTGAAGTCATGAGTCAATTGAAGCTAGACTGGCGCGAGACCGATATGTCCTGGGTTGGAATCTTGCGGGGTGCGGAATCGTGGATGCGCACTTCCAAGGAGTCCCATACTAGGACGAAACGGTCGTCTAGTGCTTCCAGGTTTTCCATGGTGGTCTAACTTCAATTGACTCATGATTTCAATCTGTGAAATTTCTAAAGTCTCCACAAACCTCTTCTGATAAATATGGTATTATTATAATTAATACCGAAAGTATTTACTAACAACAATTTAGTTGCCCTATTTACACTATTCATTTATAGGTATCTTTTCGTTTGACACTAGTTAAGTAAACTGTGCATACATTCCATCGATATTATTATTATGATTACTATGATTATTATTATTATCACAACTACCGTAACGATAAATGACCCTTCAATTCCAGCCCCTTACAAATACAATTAATAAATAATTCAGTAATTTAGAGAGAAATATTCTCTACACAGTTGTTTATCATTCATTTCATATAACTAACTATGTATTGCATCATAATTCCTGTCACATTTTGTAAACAATACACTTTATTCTAAGTGGCAGAGTAGTCAAGTTTATATACATATAATATGATGTCACAATTGTATAACTGATAAACAGTAGACTATTCATTTTGTACAAAACATAATTGTTTACATACAGAATGTGTTGTTTATTACATAATTTACGTTTCATTTTATATCAAGATGGTGTGTTTAAAATTAAGAGAGACACAAATAGGAAAAGAGAGAAAGAGAAAGGAAGAGGGTAAGTTGCATTAAGATCAGATTTGAGTAGACAAACAACGATAAATCTTTAACATGTCATAGTTTTATAATTCATCCATTAACATTGGATCCTAACATTGTCATCGGAGTTCATGAATTCCCCTTAGATCAAGTTAGTTTCAAATTGTAAGCCAAGTCATGATGATCATCTCTAAATGATAATTCTTGAGGGATAACAAATATGAGTCAATCTATCAGACTCGAAACAACTTACAACTTGGCACAAGTATGCACTGGTTTTAAATGTTCTTACTGAACACTGCCAAAATTGTATGAAATTAACAAGACAAACGGCAAAAGAATTGAAATAATAATAATAGAAGTCTCAATTATAGTAAAATAGATTAATAATGTCGATTAAGTTCACTAACTCAGTAGATAATGTGTGTTGGTCCTTTAAGTGAAAAGTACTAGAGTCAGGTCCTAATGTGGACACAAACACTAAGATGCAAGTGTATCTAATTGATGAATCTCTAATAGGATGAAAAATCACTACTGGACATCACATAGCACATATGTTGAGATTAGTTTGAAAAGGAAGAAAGAATTGATGGAGTAAGAAATGTGATATCCAAAACGGGATATTAAAAGTTAAGAAATAGAGGAAACTAAAGAAACGATTCCATTTGCACTATTAAAACTTCACCAACTATTACAAAATAATGTATATCTAACTATCAATAAGGCTTATACCACAATGTAATGGTCTTTTGTGTACTTCTGACGCTTCTAGCTTTCTTAAAACCTACCCACTCTTACTTAAACCAGCCAGCAGTATATATAGGTGATGGTTGGGCATACTTGATCACATTTCCCTGAAATTTTAGTTGATCAAGTTACGAAGCCTCAATAATTGACTCATCATCTTTATTATAACACTATTTTTATTTTAAAATAATTAGAATAGAATGAAGATAGATTTTAACACTGACGATTCAATAGTGATAATTATGTTCACACAATATTGTACACTGATTGAAGTTAGATTTGTACATTATTAAATCCAGGCTTAGTTACCTGGACATTAAGTGTTGACACACCAAAGGTTCTCGGTTCGATTCCCGGGTGCGGAATCGTGAATCCTTACAAATAGACAGGTTGTGGAGAAAACAACAGTATTGCAAATTCTGAATCAATTTTTACGTAATTAATAAGTCTACTATTAGTATCTTCTACAGGTTACTCTACTTGTTTATCGACATGACTTTGAACCACATATTAAGTCCGAGGAAAACTGATACTACTCGACCATTGAAGTCACAGTAGACCAGGTGGGGTTTCGACTTGGGATCGTATGATTGGATGCCAAGTAAATTAACCACTTTTAAGTTACTGGTCTACTGAATCAGTTTGAATTCATCTATGTTGTCTTTATCACCTTCAGTGACTCATGGTTTCATAATCCATGGATCACCAATTAAAATAGATATTTTAAAGAATTTTTGGTTGAGAAATCCTGGACTTAGATTTTGTGTTAGCGTTTGTTAGAAAAATATAGTTGAAATACTGAACGAACCTGAACATCTGATAAGTTTCAAATCTACAATGTAGTGTCACAGTGAGACCCAAGATAAATCATTCGAACTGAAGGTCACACTGAAACTTGATCGACATAGACAGTTTTGTCAGTATAAAAAGATAGAAAATGGGTTACTACTAAGTGAAAGGTCGATACAAACACCTCACTACCACAGGATATTGTATAAAAAGTTTAAATCCAACAAGCAGTATCAGTCCCTTCAATTTTAAAGATATGCTATATTGATGAGTGCCAACTGGTATGAAACCAAGATTCGATTATTCCTGTAGACTTCCTCAAATTACGTAACACTCAGACATACCTTTATGGAATATAAATATATATTTAAGCACATAGCCTTGCAAATTTATGTTTCGTAATGCCAATTTATTCGTTTCCTTAACCCAGAGGTAGTATAGTGGAATAGTTTTACCTTAAAACTATGATATCAATAATATTAGATAAGAATGATTATCAGTAGAATTCATGGTTTGTATCTGATTCAATAGTTCACTGAATAATGTCATGGTATTTAAAGTGCAAAATGCTTGATTCACAACTCTCAATGTAAATATTCAAGTGATGAACTCCAAATAAGATGTTTGGTCGGTTCCAACCTTCTTCCAACTTACTTTTACGCTGGCGAACATTGTGCTTTGAGGTACGGGGTAGTAAAACATATCTAATCTATGTCCTACTCGCTTCATTTAAAGAAAACTCACTGCCTCACCAACCATTTTTCCTGTCCTCATCTAATACCACCAACCCCTTGCGTCTAACTCGATGATCCTAATACAACCATCTAAAATGCTTTGAAGGCATCTCTTCATTCACTAGATGAATTTAACATTAAAGAAAGCTTTTTGTAACAATGAAGACTTACTCAATAAACGATGTATCTGGACCAAGAATAGCTCCACAACCTGGCCAATCACATACTTGTCCAGCAATAAGTAATGCTCTAGCAGGATCAGTTGTTAATGCTGGTAAATTTGTTCCTAGTGTTGGATTATTACCAATTTTCAAACCAGTTATTGGTGTAGATGATAATGATGATGAGGGGTTTGTTGTTACTGGTAATGCTGGTGTCATTATCGTGGAGTTTGTATTCTCCCGACCACTAACACCACTGTTAACATTGTCTTCGGAGCATGAAATTGTCATTAATTGACTTGAATCAAATGTGTTGGAAAGAAGACATCGTTGTTCCAGTGATTTATGCAATTGATCTAATTCACCGATAAGAATTTTCTCATATAAAGCTATAAAGGTAAACAGATATGTTAAACAAAATAACAACATTGAGGTTATGTGAAAAAATAAAACAAAACACACATTTTAAACTATTTACATCAATGGGAACAATAGTAATAATAGTGAAACTAAAGACAGAACAATATTGAATGTACTAAACATTATCCGTAAAAATAAATTACTCAATGTGTCGAGTGTGAGGAAGTTACCCGGCAAATACATTGAAAGATGTTTGAGTGATATTACAGATTGATAGAAGTTAGACATATACATTATTGGATAATGAGTTCGATTACTGGTGGTGATGGTAGTCGATATGCGCTACTGAAGAGTTCAGTAATAGGGGAAAACGGACGTCCAATGCTTCCAGGTTTCCAATGTTTTTGTAACTTAGATCGGTTTTTGATTTAAATCAAATTTCAATAATCTTCACAACCTCATACTGATATTCCACATAAATTTATGAGAAATGAACAGTACTTACTCAGTGTTAAATAACAAAGTTATAGCATGGGACTGAATAATTCATAGATTGATAACAATGTTCATAAATACTCAGTGATCAACCATTGTAAATATCTCAATCCTACAGGAGGTTAGTCACTACTTGAATAGTTCAATGGTAATGTTTCAGACTGCGAAACTGAGAGTAGCAGTTCCTTAAACATTCCAGGTACGCCTTACTGACGGGTGATAACTAGCACGAAACCTAGATTCGCGGTATTTTATAATTAACTCTAACTACAATCTAACATTCCAACATACTACATGTGATATCAAGTCACTTAGATCAAGGACCAGATTGTTAATTGATTAATAGAATTCAACTAAACGAATATGATAGTGACCACTATTCAACTATCACTCAATATTTCTAACAGAACTATTAAGGTGTGTAGGTAGGTGGGAAAGGAATGGTTTATAGAAATTTTTCTCTATTTGCAGCGAGCTCTATGTATTGACTGAGATAATGAAAGGAGAATCTCGTTTCTTTTTTCCACAATAAAGTATAGAGAACAATGCGATGTTATTTTAGACTTGATTGAAACTTTTCAACAGCTGACCCATTACGAACTTTTACATTTCACAAAAAGTATAATAACTTTAAACAATTAAGTTGAATTTTCAGTATGGGGTTGTGGAAATTGTTGAATTTCATTGAAATCATGAACCTATTAAAGTTTCATAATTATTGAAAACCTGGAGACACCAGACAGCTGTTTCATTCCAGTATGAGGCTCCTCAGTAGCAGTGCACATCCAGTGCTTCCAGGTTTTCAATCATAGTTTAAATTAAATCAGTTCATGATTTTAATGAAAACAATCATAATAAAGAAATGTTTATCAATGGAAGCTTTATTAAAGCTTACATTTCCATTTTGATATTTGCTAAAATGAATCACATTCCATCAAAGTTACCATATGGTTTACAAGATCTTTCATTAGACATTGCTGAAATTATTGAAATCCATGTTCACAAACTTAACCTTTGTATAATAAAAGAAGTTTGTACAACTATTCTCGCTACTTTGACCATCGATATAAGAGTGAGCATTTAGCCGAACTTTGATTAAACCCTTACCTTAAATAATATTTAAATAATTTTCGGTAAGTCTATAATTTATGGACGACTTTGAACGACGCCAAAGTGACCTTGAGAAAGGACACCTACTGAGTAGAACTAAATAAGGGTTGTAAAGTAGTTAGAATTCTCATTTACAGTTGATAGTTCCGGTTAGGAATTAGATTTAGGGTTTTCATCACGAACTGACATCAACTATAATGTCAAAAATTTATTTAGCCAAATGTATGCATGAATTTTGCGCCGAAATCCGTGACTCGTTATCTTATACCTGATTGGTTCATCCATAAATTCTAGTCTCGCCTAATTTTCTAATTTCTTCCACTTCTGTAGTTTTACATATTCTCAACATTCATCTCTTGATTCTTAGATAACTACTGTAATACTAACCATTTGGTTAGTTCTTTCTGTTGATACATTATACAATGTAGCAACTATAGGGTTTTTCGAATAATTGAGACTAGATGGTGGTTGGAGGTAGTCGACAGGAGTCCCTGGACCCGGGTTTCGTGCTACTTGGCACTCATCAGCAAGCTGTGCCTGTGATCTTGAGGGAACTGGTGCTTCCTAACGGATTCGACCTCGTGTCACCCAGCTTCACAGTCAGAGACATTACCACTGAGCTATCCGGGCCGCAACTGACCTCCTGTAGGACTGAGATGTAATCACAATTGATTGATCACTGGGTGGTGATCAATGTCATGTGTGTCAAGTCTTTATTTAGTGCAGATCGAACGCTATCAACCATGTTGCAATTTGGCCACCAGTCTAAATAAGGAATTGACACATATGCATTGATCACCACCCAGTGATCAATTAATTGTGATTTTCGAATGATTATTTTGATTTATAGTAAATTTGTCTTAACAGTGCTTGATTTTGTTTAAGCAAATTAAATCATACCTGAGTTTTTTTCCACAATCTAATGGATATTAAAAAGGAAAGATACAAAGAAGTCAGTCAGTCAGTTGGTCATAATCAACATAGAATATCGCATAAACGTGCTTCAGACCAAGTTGTCACACAAAATTTTTTTTTAAAAATGATAAAAGTGCTGATAAATCGATCAAATGTGTTGACAATAATGATGGGAATGATTGAGCATTAAGAAGATAGTTTTAAAAGACAATGAATAGACGTATATACGGAGGAATAGTGAAACTCGAAGTTTAGTAAGAGAAAAATAAGGAAAATAAAAACCGAGCAGTTATGACTGAGATTCTGAGCCATGGTCAACCTAACATCTCCAAACATCGGTTGTGGTTATTAAACCAATGATCCTAACTGGGTAGTTTGGACATAATAAAATGGCTTAGTCTAGCAGATAATAACTTCATGATCTGATCCTACGTATTGTTTTCGTCGTGTACAAGCTTTCTTTTAGCTTAACACCATACTGAAAAACATTATTCATGCATAACAAAGACATATTCTAAAAGAAATACCTGTTCTTAATCATTATTAAAGTGGTGATTTAGCTCATGAAAGTATTGTTTCAATGTAAGCTGTCGTTTATGATAAATCTTTGATTTAAAAAAATGGATGCTTTTACACATGGTTAGTCAAATCATTTAGAAATACAGCATATTTTGGAAGTTGAAGTTAAAAATGTCAGCAATTCCATGGTGTGATTTCCATTCTAGGTGTATTTTTTAAAAGATTAAACATGTAGATTATTGGATTTCAAAATGATAAACGATGATCTTCGTCTCGGTTTTAGTAACTAATAATTTCTAAATAACCACACCCAGAATATTTAGTTCTCTTATTGATTCAACCTGTGGTTAATCTCACAGAGTGGAAGAACAAAGAACTAAACGAAATAAAGTGAATTCGTGTTATTCTGTTCAGTTCTTTGTTCTTCTAGATCATCAGTCATAGTAACAAGAGATCACGGAGATAAAATAATTTATTCATTATGTAATGGATTCATTGAGCACAAAGTAATAGCAATTAAGAATGGCATGAGTTGAGATCAGGTAGTCAGAAACAAAGATTCTGAATTCGAAAGAAGTTATTTAATTGAGTTAAATTGTAAGAACGGTGTAAAAAAACTGATGGTAAAGTCACGATGGTAAGGAAAAATTTGCAACTGTTTCCTTTTGGATATAGGAGTTCAGCTTGAGTCGCTTGATAGCTTCGGGGAATTTCAAAAGAATGGAGTCCGACTGTCGATTAATGAATATTGAAAGATTTCAGTCCATCAACCTGATGTCACATATCACATAGATGTTTTGAAATTACACTGTTAAAGGCTTCAATCCCAGTGACCTGAGACTTTTTGGGATATGTTCTTGGAATCGAACGTAGGCCCTTCTTTTTGTTCTATTAATGTAACTGCTTTGGCATACACGCGTAAACTTGTATGCACAGTTGGCGGTAAAATGAAAGAGGTACCTATCGATCTTTGATTAGAGTAAAAAATAAAATGTTCTATAAAAGATAATCAGTCTAACGGTAGGATAAATTCTGGTCAGTGTAGTTTTTAATTTTCTGTTTATTGTCAATCCAACATCGTCGCCTTTAAATCCATGTTAACTGAAAATAGGTTTTTTGTCTAATTTGATTTTTTTTTCAGGCCTTTTGTTTTCTCATTTCTCATTAATAAATTTCTCTGGAGACCCATTTTTTCCTTAAGTATTCCTTCACATTCATTGTTTCTACTTTTAGTGTATCAGTGGTACATACCCTTACCATTCTGTGAAAGTATTTTGAAAAGTACCTTTTTGTAAATAATTGGCTAAAAACTATTAACATTCAAATAAACGCCGTTCCACATATCTTTTTGATAAACTGAACGTTGAACAGTACCACCACCATACCCTTGAGAAGGTGGAGCTTATTATCCTTTTCCTGTTCCCCAGTAAATTCAACATTTTTACGAGCGCCGTTAAAAAGGTTCAACAGGTGTTTTTCGTTGTTGACCATTACAAATATTAAAAGTATCATCAACATTACCTTGAATAATACATCATTTCATTATTCATTCCCTTTAAGCTTCTTAGTGTGTCATATAATAAATAATATGTAATTTTAACTTCATCCCACAATTTATTTCCCACTCTGTATCCAACTTATAAAAATTAAAGAAAGTTGTGAGAAGATGAAGATTAAACCATCCAGTTGAGAAGACTTCGTACCACTAAAAACAAATATTTTCGGCGAGCCTATAATTTATGGATGAACCAATCAGAGTTACGGTAGCAGGTCTGAGATTTTGGCGCGAAATTCACTTATCCATTTGGCTAAATAGAGTCTTGGCATTATAGCTAATGTCAGTTCGTGATGAAAACCTTAAATCTAATTCCTAACCCTAACCATCAACTGTAAATCATAATCTTTATTCTTCAACCTGCTTTATAACCCTCATTTAGCCCTAGTAAGTAGGCAGACACTCCCAAGGTCACTTTATCGTCGCTCAAAGGTC